TACCATGCACTTGACTCGATGTAGTTCACTCTATGCTCTATGTGTGGGAACGCTTAATCGAGATCCCCATAGCGTGAGGGCTCATAGCCCGACCTGGACCTCGAGAGGCACATACAGTCAAGAGTCATGGAGTCCATGAGTCATGAGTCATAAAGTCATAGAGTTACAGTGAGATAGCGTCATAGAGTCATAGTGAGATCAAGTCACGAGTCATGGAGTCATCTATGTACCATGCACTTGACTCGATGTAGTTCACTCTATGCTCTATGTGTGGGAACGCTTAATCGAGATCCCCGTAGCGTGGGGGCTCATAGCCCGACCTGGACCTCGAGATGCAGATACAGTCAAGAGTCATGGAGTCTATGAGTCATGAGTCATAAAGTCATAGAGTTACAGTGAGATAGCGTCATAGAGTCATAGTGAGATCAAGTCGCAGAGTCATGGAGTCATCTATGTACCATGCACTTGACTCGATGTAGTTCACTCTATGCTCTATGTGTGGGAACGCTTAATCGAGATCCCCATAGCGTGAGGGCTCATAGCCCGACCTGGACCTCGAGAGGCACATACAGTCAAGAGTCATGGAGTCCATGAGTCATAAGTCATAAAGTCATAGAGTTACAGTGAGAGTAGGCCGCCACGTTGCTTGCTCGCTCTTTCGCAAGACAGCGTCGAAGCAAGCAAGCAACGGTGCAACCTAGCCAGAGCGAAGAATTCGCGGCCCGCACGGCTCACCGTGGAGTCAAGGGCCGCGCGGCCTGAGGAGGTGCCGGGAGAGGTCATCCCAGGGATTACGGCGGTCCGGAGCCTCATGAAAACTGCTGATTGTAGTTGCAAAGGTTCATCGGGAGCCCCGAGCCTCCATAGCACGCATTATACCAACCCAAGGTATAGTATCATGGAAGAAGAAACATAGCGGCAGCTGACGAACATCCCCAAACGGAAGTCGCAACACTGGTCTCTGAAAGTAGCAGGGAATTAGGGTTTCGCTCTTCATCTCAAACCACAAGAGGCCAGCGTATGTTTCTTAGCCGACCCAACAGACTCCAGGGGAACGCCACGGGCTTAGGGGTCCTTATTTCGTGTCTATCCACACCGGATAATCCACGAGGGCCTAGTAGGACTAATGCAGGGATCACGGTGGTCCGGAGCCTCCTCTAGAAAGATTGATTCTAGCTGCAGACATTCATCGAGAGCTCCAGGCTTCGGTGACACCCTGTGTATCAACCCTTGGTATACTATCTCAGAAGAAGAAACCCGGCGGCATCTGGCAAACATTCCCAAGCGGCAGTCACAACACGGGTCTCTCAAAGGATGGTTGGGGATTTAAGATCTATCCTATACCACAAACGGGTCCACCTCGCTGAGCCGCTGCGCGACTCGTGCCGCCGGGAGTCCAGCAGCGGAAGGCAGTGCAGCCATTAGGGATTTGGGAAGACACCGTTCCGAAGTGAAACACCCCACTTCACTAGGAAACCCGCCAGATGCCGCGAAGTATTTAACCCGCCAAGCAATCGAGGAGCTCCTGCGTCTCGATGAACCTTTATCTGCTCACAGGATGTCGCGGCCAGGAGATGAACCGAGGCATTGGGAATCACTACGCTTCCGCCGCACCAATGTACCAATGCGAGCACTTGAAGTTGCCGTTGATGGTTCGCCCATCATAGTTCTCGCTCGGCAGCCTTCGGTTGTCAATCGGCCTGAGATGTCCACGGTACCAGCTGACATGGACAATCATCCGGAACGCCAATTCCCCGTGAAGCCTGCTCCCCGAATCTCGCTTCCGAGCCTGCAGAAGTCGTCGGCCAGGCAGCGGCGCGGTGCGCCGTCGCAAGACAGCGTGCGCGCCGTACAAGCGCATGAATATATGTGTCTATCTATCTATCTATCTATCTATCTATATATATATGTATATATATATATTTATGCATTTATGCATATATATATGTGTATATTATTCTTATCGATATATGCGTTTGCCAATCCTGCCAATCCCTCTGAAAGGTTGCCAATTGACCTGTTGCACACCTACCGATTAGAACAATCGAAGAAGCAAATCCCTCTCAAGCCAATCCCTGTGAAGGGTTCCGCGAGCACCGCAAAATGTGTAACTTCACCTCGCGTTCGAGCACTCGACAACGCCAATCCGTGTGAAGGGTTGCAAAATTCATTTCAATGCACATCAGAAATTGCAACTTTACCTCGCGTTCGAACACTCGACCACGCCAATCCCTGTGAAGGGTTGCAAAATGCCAATCCCTGTGAAGGGTTGCAAAATGCAGTTGAGCTGCGCCCAAACCCTGTGAAGGGTTGCGCGGCGTCCGCAAAATGTGTAACTTTACCTCGCGTTTGAACACCCGAGGAGGCGAATCCCTGTGAAAGGTTCACGGCGCCCGAAAAATTTGTAACTTTACCTCGCGTTTGAACGCCCGAGGAGGCGAATCCCTGTGAAGGGTTCACCCGCGCGCCTAAAATGTGTAACTTTACCTAGCGTTTGAACGCCCGAGGAGGCGAATCCCTGTGAAGGGTTGCGCCGGGCGCCTAAAATGTGTAACTTTACCTCGCGTTTGAAGGGTTGCGCCGGGCGCCTAAAATGTGTAACTTTACCTAGCGTTTGAACGCCCGAGGCAGCGAATCCCTGTGAAGGGTTGCGCCGGGCGCCTAAAATGTGTAACTTTACCTAGCGTTTGAACACCCGAGGCAGCGAATCCCTGTGAAGGGTTGCGCCGGGCGCCTAAAATGTGTAACTTTACCTAGCGTTTGAACGCCCGAGGCAGCGAATCCCTGGGAAGGGTTGCACGGGCACCGCATTAAGTTAAAAAATGTGTAACTTTACCTAGCGTTTGGGCCCTCGCCCATGCCAATCCCTGTGAAGGGTTCACCCGGGCGCCTAAAATGTGTAACTTTACCTCGCGTTTGAACGCCCGAGGCAGCGAATCCCTGGGAAGGGTTGCGCGGGAACCCTAAAATGTGTAACTTTACCTCGCGTTTGAACGCCCGAGGAGGCGAATCCCTGGGAAGGGTTGCATTCCCGATGGACGACAACGGTGCCACCCCCTGGCTTTAGAAGAGAGAATTAGATACCGAGATGTAGAGAGTAAGTCATAGAGGCATAGAGTCAAGTAAGTAAGTAAGTAAGTAAAAGTAAGTAAGTAAGTAAGTAAGTATAAGTAAGTATAAGTAAGTATAGAGATAGCATAACATAGAGTCCAGTGTCAAGTGTCAAGTAAGTAAGTAAGTAGAGTGAAGTAAGTAAGTAAGTAAGTAAGTCGTAAGCATAACATAGAGTCAAGTGTCAAGTGTAGAAGAGTCCAGTGTCAAGTGTCAAGTAAGTAAGTAAGTAGAGTAAGTAAGTAAGTAAGTAAGTAAGTCGTAAGCATAACATAGAGTCAAGTATCAAGTGTAGAGTCAAGTATCATAGAGTCAAGTGTCATAGAGTCAAGTGTCAAGTGTAGAGAGTCAGTCATAGAGGTCAAGTAAGTAAGTATCAAGTGTAGAGTCAAGCATCAAGTGTAGAGTAAAGTATGGAGTCAAGTAAGTTGATTCTATGTCTGTCATCTATGTACTCAGCTGCGGCGTTCCACACGGAAGAACCCTTCGCGATGCTTTCGGGAATTATACGAAGATCGATATATCATTTTATATTAATCTTAATATTTTATCTTAAATTCGAAATTCTTTTCGAATCGTGATACTCGATATTTCATTCGTATATGAAGAATAAGAAAAATAATGGACCATGTATAGAAGATGATATATTATATCTTATTATCGAAAAATCTTCTGTATCGGAGAGGTTCTGTTGATTCCGAAGTGCTTCATGTTACTTCTGGCTCTGTGGAATCAATTTATATGCTGGTCAAGAGATATTCCGCATATATAAAGATTGCAGTCGCATATTTCGGCCTGGAAGACAGTGCATGCTTTAGGCAAATGCAAGTCCCGGTGCTAAACTCATATCTGACGCTTTCTTGCGAGTGAAAACAATTTGCCTCGTCGGTTGCCATGGAGTGCCCTGTCTGACCCCCTGGAAGAGCTGCGTCTGCGACAGATGTTCGAAGGTCTGATTCTAGTGGTCAGGTTGATTTGCAAGGGATTGTACCCGCTATAGATCATCGGCGAGCTCGAAGCCCGCAAACTTGAGCAGCTGAAGGTCTCAGAAGTGGGCACTGATCCAAGAGGATTTGAGCGACAAAGCGGGCCATCGTTACTTGAAGTCGCTGCTGTGAAGCGGGCTAATGGATGATTCATCTGCATTCGGGTGAAGACAGCGAAGAGTTCAAGGTCCTAGAGGACAATGGTGTTGCGTTGCTTGAAGTTGACCTGTCACTGAGCAAGGCCTATAATATGAAAGAGCCGAATCTCATGTACAAGGTTTTGCTGTGGGCTGCGAGCGTGGACAGATCGAAAGCTTGGTTGGGGACCGCCTTGTAGAGAAGGTTGTGCGGAATTGGAGATGAAGCAGATGTTCTTATGGAATTTGGCACGTCTGACTACGGAGGAGTATGAGGTTTCATATCCCAGCTTCTTGATTACGATGCCTTCAGGAAGTGAGCTTTGGAAGTCCTCTTTATGGAGGTAGTACAAGGAGGCGATGGACTTGAAGATGCACCAAGGTAGTGAGGAGGTGATGATGGCTACGAGTTTGAATATGAGGCCTCCACAAGGCCAATGGGAGCGTGCATCAAGAACTGGTGTGAAGGTATGGACGCCGGAGTTTCGATGGGCAATCGTGGAAGGAATACAAGATTGGAGAAGCTGTGTCGCTCTACGGCGTCTGGATGGACCTCTCAGTTCTATGTCAAAGGAAGAGTTAGCGCGGTGACTTTGCACGTTCGGAATGGTCCTATGCCTTTCCCACAAACGTTGTCAAACGTGTGTTGCTAGAAGGGCCACGGGCCATCAATACACAAGAGTGGTGGCTCCATCGTGCTATGGGCTATGGGATGTCAGTTGATATTTCTGGGTCATTCAGAAAAAGGGGGCAGACACCGGACTCCATGAATTACAAGTACATGCTGGTTGCATCATACACGATGCCTGTGTTAAAGGGCCGCAAATGCCACCCGGACGATAAGATCATGATTGCTGATGATGGTGGAGTTGGCATGGTACAGGTGATCCAAGTGGATTATCAGACAATGCTCCAGAACCCACAGGCGATCCAGGTGTGTTACCAGACAGTGCTCCAGAACCCACAGGCGATCCAGGTGTGTTACCAGACAGTGCTCCAGAACCCGCAGGCGATCCAAGCGTCTCACCAGATAGTGCTCCAGAACCCGCAGGCGATCCAAGCGTGTTACCAGACAGTACTCCAGAACCCGGGGGTGAACCGGGTGAAGTTTGGCTAGATGGTGATCCTCCTGATTTGGACTTGGATGAGTTGTTCGTTGAGGAGGAGGATGTGCCGATTGGAGTCATCAACAGGCGAGCAAGAAGAGTTGGATCGTCTCAACAAGGAGTACAACGAGTGGTTGCCGAAGTGGGTGATGTTATGGACTATCAAGTATTACGGTTCGCTGTGCCTATGATTTCAAGAAGAGTCACTGAGGTGAACTCCCGGATGAGACAGCTCTACCTTCAGATAAGGTCAGAGGATTTGGAAGTGGTTCGTTGTCACTCAGATCGGGCTACAGAGCTGTGCAACAAACGTTTGCGAGACTGGTTTCTTTCACGCGGTGTTCTTTGTACCACTGGAGAAGCTTTCAAACCCCTCAGCAAAATGGACGTGCGGAGGCAAGCGTGAAATTCGTGAAGTCCCATTATCGGTCTCTTCTTACAACCGCTAAACTTCCTGCTGAGTGTTGGCCTCTGGCCATGGGTTACTCCGTTCACCTAGCGAAAAGAGAAGATCTACCTGCCTTTGGGTCTCCCGTACATATGCGAACTAAGGTTTATGGACGAGCCGGACGCTATGATGTTGAAAACAAGTGGCGTCAGGGCATATACGTTGACCCGTCTCAAGATATTCAGCACGGACATTGCGTGAGATTCCCAGATGGCTCGTTCGTCATCAGCTTGCATTTGAAGGACCAGCTCGTTGATACGGATGGATTGATGGATTTGGTTCCTAGGGAGGTGGAGTTGCCCGTTCCGGAAAGGAGGGTTCGAGGAAAGAGAAGGTTGGCGATGTCACAAGTTCATCCTCTTTCGTTAGAAGAGGAGCAAGCTGAAAAGGAAAGCGAAACGCATGCTTAAGAACGGCGATATGGACGTTGCCGCGATCCTGAACCTCTTTGAGCTCTTGAAGATCATCAAGGTGAAGCAAGCAAGTGGACGAGCAGCCAAGAAAGGAATTTCGTGGACTACGGGAATGTTCGTGCATGGCGGTGTTGCTGGCCTTCGGGGAAACACAAAGAGAATGAGGTGGACTACAAGGTGCTTGGTGGAGTCTGCGAAGAAAATGGCTGGAGACCATGCGTTTACGGCGGTTGGCATTCTGGAAAACAAGGATATGGATTGCCATAAAGATAGGCACAACGAGGTCGACTCTATGAACACCGTGATCATGTTGAAAAGACCTTTGAAGGGCGGCGAGTTGTGGTTAGAAAATGATGATCTAAGTCCTGAAGAAGCTGATTGGAAGCAAGTATCAAAAAAGCTGTGGAAGAAGGGTGAAATTCATGATCTACCAATTGGCCAACCGTATGTTTTCAGTCCTCGTAAATGGTATGAAGTTCAGCCGTGGGATGGGGATCGAGTGGTTATGGTGCTGTACAATCCGAGAGCTAGTCACCTACATTTCCAAGACAAGGATGACTTAGACTTTGTCGGGTTCCCAACCGTGCAGAATGACCTCGAGATCCCTAGTTCAGGTCCCACCGTGCAGAATGACATCGAGATCCCTGGTTCAGGTCTTGTTGAGGGTGGTGATGTACTTTCACAGCTTAGTGCGCCAGCCCAGGCGAGTGAGTTCCCACTGGTTGAGGGTGTCCCAGAGCTTGACTTGATTAGACCGTTGGAGCTAGAAGATCCGGAAGAGCTAGATGATTACCTGATCTCCTTGACAGAAGAGCAAGACCATTTGCTACAAGACCTGCAGGATCGTTCGAGTCGCTTGCGTTTACTTCTTGAGGAGGAGCAGGCTTTGCTTGAGGAGTGCAAAAGGGCAGGCCAAGATGTCACAGATGAGGTTGAGCACGTCACAGTATCCATCGAGGACATGATTCAGGAGGTTGTAGAGAAACAAGGCGCGAGAGAAAATGAGGCACACGACCGTCTCCTAAAGGCAACCGAGATCTCGGAAGAGGACCTAGAGGGTGATTTGGAGGTGGTACATACTGTGACATTGAGTCAAGTGCGTGCAGCTCAGGATCAGTAGATGGAGACCTTGGAGAAGGAAGTCAACCAGTTGTTGGGTGGAACATTGAAGTCTGACGAATCTCACCGAAGGTGATATAGTTTTATTTTCCTGATTCCGAATTTTGAAAGTTTGACTTTCAAGAGCCCGAAGTTTTCCCTTAATCGTTTTCCAGTCTTTGGAACGATGTAGAATCTTCCTTTGCCCGTGCAACATTACGGCTCCAGGGAGGGAGGTGGGAAACCCCGTAGCTGGGCAAAGGCTCAGTCCGTAGCCATTTTGGCTCAAGGGAGGGAGGTGGGAAACCCCGTAGCTGGGCAAAGGCTCAGTTTTTGTTGTTGCGGGGGCGTGGTAGTCTGTGCATGCAGGACATTGTTCTTGCTATTCTGCTGCTGGTAGGCAGAGTGCAGAGACTTCTCGCAGTTTGTAGGCTTTGGTTACACGAGGCCCGTGGTCGCCTGGACATTGCTTTCGTTCAAATAGCAGGCTTGCGCTCCTTGCTTCTCAGTTTCGGCAACAGGCTTGTGCGTGCTGAAGGAAACATTGAGGAAGCTCGAGGTGAAGTGGCCCGCACAATCCTCAACTTCAACGGCAGACTTGAGTCTGTCGAGGACAGTCTGGAGGAGGGTCTTGAGAACCAGGCTGGCCTCCTGAGAAGCTTCGAATCTCAGCTCCAGCATCATCACCGGAGTCTCTTGATTGTGGGGTTCATTTTGGCCCTCCAAATTGTGCGACTCTGTGCGGCACCATGTCTAACAGTGCACTGGCTGCAGCAGTCTTTGATGCCGGTCTGGAGAATTCTACAGTGACGGCTCTGGTCATGCCTTGGGAGCAAGGAGTCTTCTCTCAGATTTTTGATGACGCGACGACTCGGCTGGTCCCGCTTGTTGCCAGGCCGTCAGATGTCAGGCTCACTATGGAAGAGGCATCTGTGCTTCCTTCCAGCGAAGAAGCCTCCAGATCCAGTGTTGCAAGGTTTCGCAGTTCTTCTTCAGAAGTGGTTTTCTTGAAGCATGCCGTCACAGTGATGGCCAGGAAAGTCAGACTTTGTGATGAAGACATTTTCGAGCTTCATGTTCAAAGGTTCGAGCTAATCCTTGCACACTCTTATGAAGCCTCGATTTTGGGGCGCAGCTTTCGAGGAGCAACCCTGGAAGAACGGCACACCAAGGTTAGGCTGGCACTCGGAGGCAAGGCGCCTCGCACACTGCAGAAGAGGTATGGCCAGTCTGCCAAGCTAGTCTCCTGGGCTGAGTTGGAGTCGGTGAAGGCCTTCCCCATTGATGGGCAGATTGCTGAGGAGTTTCTCCGACATCTTGTTAGCTCGAGCGGCAGGCATTCGGTGCTTACTGGTGCAGTTGAGTGTTTTGCTTTCCTGCATCACGTGCTTGGAGTTGACATGGAGCTGAACGCTTGTAGCAATCCAATCGTGCAGGGGATCCTTAGGAAGGCTCGCTTGGAACGACCTGCAAAGAAGCAGGCGAGAGCCTTGCTTGCCAGTGAAGTTCTTGCCTTGGAAGCTCTACTTGCGGATGAGTGCCGGCCACTCATCGATCGGTTTTGCGCTGGAGCCTTCCTCTTTGCATTGTATGGCCGGGCCAGGCTTGGTGATCTTAGGGTTCTTGACTGCTTCATAACCGACCTTCTTGAGGACAGTGCTAGCGGTTGTGGCTACCTTGAGGTTTTGTCTCTTTCGCACAAGTGCCGCAGTACCAGCAACAGCCAGGGTATGCGCATGCACATTTTGGTGCCTGCCAAAGGCATCGGCCCGAGGTGTTGGGGCAAAGACTTCATCTCGGTTGCGAGGGAGCTGGGTCGTGACCTCACCAGCATTGCTTCGGGAGAGCCTTTACTGTATATGCCAGATGCTCATGGGAACTTCTCCAATGTACCTGCTGACACTGATCGCTTTGCCGCTTGGGTGCAGGATCTTCTGTCAACGGTGCCGGCATACAGCGGGGATAAGATTTCAGGGCATTCAGCAAAGGCCACGCCGTTGTCGTGGATGGGCAAAGCCGGAACAGATTTTGATACGCAAACCCTCCTTGGACACCACGTGCTGGTTGGACGCAGCAGTGCCCTGACCTATGCACGGGACACGCAGGCGGCTCCGGTCCGAAAGTTTGAGGCTCTCATAGGCGATGTGCGCCGAGGGGTTTTCCTTCCTGACTCCACGAGGTCCGGACGTTTTGCACCTGAGGAGCCTGCCGATTCCGATCCTCATTTGGACGGTGTTCTGTTCAGTACCAGAGACATGTCTAGTGCATTTCCCACTTCTGATGAAGGTGGTCCTGAGCCTGTGTTTGCTTTCCCGCCGTCACCGCCTCCTCAGCTTGATGACTCCTTGACTCCTTTTCCGATGCCTGGTTTCTTGGATCAGGCTGGTCAGGATCCAGAAGGCGAGGCTGATGCTGACTGGCTGGGAGAGCGGGATTGGTATGCTGAGGCAGCAGCAGAGGAGCAGGCGCAGCAGCAGGAGGACGAGCCGGACTTGGAAACCGGTGCTGAGGGTTGTGATGCAGAGCCTGGTGGGAGTGAAAGCTCTTCCAGCAGTGAGTCATCTACTTCTGAGTCGGTTGATGAGAGAGTTCAAGCTTCTGGGGAGAGGGCTGGCGAACTTGAGCATAGAAAGCTCAATGAGTGCCTCATGTACAGGCATAAAACTACCAGGACTGTGCATCTGCTTCCCGCCGGAGCCTCATCGGGTCGCTTTGTGTGTGGCCGCGAGTGGAATCAGGCAATTTTTAAACCGGTTTGTGGAAGTGTGAGCATTGCCTCCCTTGAGTGCAAGCAGTGCTACAGAGGCAGGTCACTGCGGGATCTGGGGGCCCTTAACCACGCCCTTGAAGTGGCCACTAAAAAGGCCCGGGTGGAGGGATCTTCTTAAGTTGCTCATGGCAGCCTTGGTGTATCCACAGCGTGACCAGTGCTGTTGGGCACAGGCAGCTCGGTGATGCAATGAACCAAGGCGTGACCTCGAGGTCCTGCAAAGGGACTGCTTGGTGCCTCTTTGTCGCCTGGGATGATTTCCCGGCATGGCAGGAGCACTTATTTCTAAACCTGGCGAGTGTGGCAGCCTTCAGAGCAACATGGGCGTGACCAGCACTCCTGTGCGGGCAGCCCGAGCGCTCACCGTGAGGCTTGACCTGCCACTCGTCGCAAACATTTTGCCATGCCCCCTGGGCTAGACGAGATCGTCCTCGGCTTACAGGAGTGCAAAAATCGCTGCGTGGGCAAGATGCTCTTAGCCCTGCGTGATGTGCGAATGGATAGAGAGAGGTTGGATGCAACTTGCGGCATACCGCGAAGTGCTGCATGTCCCCCCTCGATGCATTTGGATCGCTGCTCCATCAGTGTATCTCAATTTTGCATGGTTCAGGTGTCATTGCAACTGCAGAGCTTGGTGCACGCTTAGTTTGGTGCGGTAGACTTCTGCAGATTCTGGCAATGGCGACCCTTCTGAAGAGTGAGGCTGCGTTCGATGAGCGAGCTCGTGAGTGTGGGCTACCGGATGAGGAGCTGGGGCGGCTGAAGACTGCGGGGATCAAGACGATCTCGCTTCTAGCTTTCTCGACCAGTGCTCCAGGTGTTCAGCCTTCTGAGGAACAACTGAGGTCCCTTCTCCGACCGCTGGCACCTGAGTCGGTGAGTGTTGGAGTTGTGGCAGCAATCCGACACTTGATGTTTGAATGTCAGACGCTTTGCTTGTCAAAGCTTCAGTTGAAGGAAATGAAAAAAGGATCGAATTGGCACCAGCTGAGAGGACAACTCGGATACTCCAGCAGAAGGCCAAAATGAAGGGTCTTACCTTGGTTGGGCAGCTCGAGTGCTCGTATGCTTCTTACGACTATGTGGGGGCGATGATCGAGAAGGATAGCCCTATGTACTTGGAACCGCACCGGTTCGACTCGAGAGCAGCTGAGGTGGCGCGTGAGCGCCCTGGCAAAGAGCTCATTTTGGACCACAACCGCATTTCTGTGCGTGACAAGGCAGATAAATACAAGTGCGCGATACAAGATCCATTGGCACTGTCGCAAGCCCTGCAGCGACGGGCCCTTGCTTCCGATCTCATGGGGGCATGCACTTACGAGGCGATGCATGCCTGGCACTCCTTTCTTTTAGACAGGATGCAGCAGCAGGCTCCGCCGGGCTGGTCACGCCCATCGATTGAACAGGTGCTCAGAACCGACAGGGCTGGTTGGGTACGCATGTCGGAACAGGTGAAGTCACTTCGGAGAGATTCGTCGGGCAATTTGCCCCTCGATGATGCCCTAGGGAAGTTGACGAGTGACCCTCATGTGTTGTTCCATCTCTTACCCCTCAAGAGCTCTGAGGTTAAGCCCGATAAGCCGGATAAGCCACCAAAGCTTCCACATGGTGATCCGGATAAGAAGAGAAAGCCGAACAGTCCCAACAAGCAAGATTCTGGCAACAAGGTCCAGAAAGCAGAGCTTCCGGACGAGCTTAAGAACATTACTGGATTGCGGATGGCAACCGAGGCAGGTGAAAAGTTCTGCTGGCCCTTCAATTGCAAGAAAGGCTGCAAGTTCGCAAAGGCTGGCAAATCCTGCCGTCGTGGAATCCATGCTTGTATGCGCTGTGGCAAAAATCACTCACTGCAAGAGTGCAAAGAGTGACGGTTGCCACTGCCTGAGGCGGATTTTTCAGGTCAACCTGTTGTGGTTCCGCCCGCTGCTCCGATGACAAGTGCAGCCAAGCGTGTGAAGGTCTGTCAGACCGGTGAGGCTTTGGAAGCTTCACTTGACTCTGCATGCGACCCTAATCCCTTTCCCGCCGGTGCCCTGCATTCGAACCAGCAGGATGCCCTAATTAGTCATAACCACTGTGCCAAACGATTGACTTGCAAGTTCATGGATTCAGTTTTGCCTCTTGAACCGGCTTCGTCACCTCCGGCTGAGACCATTCACCCTGCCGAGGTGTATGCTGGTCAGATTCTGAAGCTAGCACGAGCGCCCGCCCGCAGTGAGGTGTTGCACCTGTTCAACCTCCTTCCGAAGGATAAACCCGCTCGTGGTGAGGGTACGGGATGCGCTTTCGCTTGTGGCATGTATTGTCAGGGACCCTTGCTGGGCCTCCGGGCCAATACCAAACGTTTTCCCTTGGCGTGCTCTGTGCTAGCTAGTTTTGTGAAGGCAATCTCTCCTGATTTTCAATTTTCCACAATCAACATTTTTTTCAATGTCAAGACGAGTCCGCACGTTGATGCAAACAACGCTCCCATGCCAAATCTTGTTGCGGGCCTAAGTAATTTTCAGGATGGGCAAGTCTTAGTTGAAAGCTCAGGAGGCCCACGTGTGATTGAGACCTCTTCGGGCAAGCTTCCCGCTGTTGCGCTGGAGGTGGCTAACACGCATGCCATCTTCGATGCTTATCGCCTTCGACATGCCACTGCTGCTTGGCAGGGTGATCGTGTCGTCCTTGTCGCCTTTTCGGTGCGCAATGCCTGCATGTTGAGCCCATGTGATCTGTCAACTCTACAGGAGCAGGGTTTTGCTCCCAATCTGGATGCTGTCTGCTCAACTGACTGATATTCCACCTGTTGTGGTGCCGCCAATCAGCAGCAAGTGCCTACCTGCTGGTGCAGAACAGAGACTTCAGGGTCATAGCCTTCAGTCGATGCTGTTCCTTCAGATTTTCTGTGGTGCGGGTCACCTGGCCGCTGCGGTTAAACGTAAAGGAATTGGACAGTGCCTTGGCGTCGCCTCCCGTGTCACTGGTGCCACTCGGTGTCCTGTTCTCCCGCTTGACCTTAAAAATGAAGAACAGCATGAGCTCCTGTGGGATGTTCTCAATCGCGGCAACGTTTGTGGTGTGCACATCTCGCCGCCTGCGAGTGATGCACAACTTTGTGAGCTGTCGGCCCGGATCCTGAAGTGGTGCCTCGGCCGTGGCATTCTCGTATCAGTTGAAAACCCGGCTGCAAGCTCCGCGTGGCAAGGCCCCCTTGGCAAGACCTGCCTCGCCTTAGGCCTCCTCAAGACCTCATTGCACCAGTGCATGTTCGGGGATCCTTGTGCTAAGCACTCAACTTTCTTCCACAACTACCCTGAACTTCGTAGGTTAGGAATTGCTTGTGATGATTCGCACTCTCATGCTCCCTGGCAGTCGGGTGCCTTGCACATGTACCCACCTGACCTATGCGATGGATTTGCTAGAGCATTGCTTGAGCGCCTCAAAGCCTTCGGGTGTGCGCCATCCACTGTGACTGATGTGTCCATGCACCGTGCTGCTCAGGTTGCTGCTGCCAAGCAGCCGAAAGGAAAACGCATCCCGCCGATTGTGCCGCCTGTTGCTGGCACTGTTGAACTTCGAGGACCCGGTGCTGTGATGCCACCCACTGGTGTCTTAAAGTCCTTTACGCCATTGTCTTCAGAGCTTGTCGTCCTGCCGCCCATGCATGGCCTGCCTGCTGGAAGCAAGTGCCTTCGGTCAGTGCTCTTCGGGGGTGGGGCTGACCTTCCTTCGATTCGGGAAATGACTTTCTCCGTGCCAAAGTCTTGTGAAGATTTTGTGCAGCAAGCATGCTTCGCTGAGCATCCCAAGCACCTTTACAGTGGCATCCCTGATGTACTTGCGAAGTGTGTCAGCAAGTGTGCTTCAGAAAGTTACGAGAGTCTTGGTCGGGAAAGGACTGCTTCACTTCGGCGCTGGGTGGCTAGGGCAAAAGAGTTGTCCGAGCAAGTTGATCCAGATCCTCCTGTGGGTCACTGCGCGGAGGTCTTAAAGGGCAAGGACCTTAGGCTGTTCAAAGAAATGCTTGATGAAAGTGGGCATGTTGACAGTGGGCTGCCTAGTCAGGTGAAGAGAGGCTTTGACATTATGGGTCCATTGCCCGCTTCTGGTGCCATGCCTAAGAAAAACACTTTTGCAACTTTGACGCCAAAGGAGGTCCGTGACAATGCATCATCGATCAATAAGGCAATCTTGGGAGCCTGCCGATCTTCCAAGGACAAGCAACCAAGTGCATCATTTGCTGAAGATCTTCTAAAGAAACCGTGGATGGTGCCGGAGCCGGTGCCTGTGTGTTCCAACGGTTCCCCCAGCCGTTGTTGAAGCGATTGCCTCGGCCTTTCCCCCAGCCTTTGCCCTTGGTATGCTTGGTCACTTCCAGATGCGGCCTCTTGTTGGAGCCGTTCTGCTCGACCTGCTCGGCGGCTCTTTTGGCTGCCATTTCCCGAAGCGCCGGCATCGTCGCTGCGAAGATGTCCATGAACTGGTCCTCCCCCGTCGACATGCTGGCCATGAACTTCTACAGGAGGAGCTGCCGGTAGCGAAATTTGCAAGGCAGATTGAAAGAGAACATGACAAACATGTGCATGCTGTGCTGCTCGTTTAAAGTTGCCTCCACAGAACTGACACGGACGTTTGAGACTGGCAGCCCACTGCGAACACAAATCCACCACCCCGGTCTTCGACTGGGACCATATGTTTGCATGATGTTGTTCCATGTGCCGTCGCAGCCCCCTCGCGGTGCATTGTTCATGGCACAACTGGCAATGGGTCGTCCAATGTTTGCTGGCATGTACATCAGGCAAGGATACTTCAGCTACCAGCCCTGGCTCCGCACTCACCGTGGTGACATCACCGCCTGAGGCTGCACTGCCCATCGCACGAACCATAGACAGTTGAAACAACACCGGACATGTGTCGGTATGGACCGAGCCTTTGGGCACAGACCGATGACACCATGCACAGGTACCTGTAATGCGTGCAAAAGTTGCTCTTCGCCATTGCAATGTGTGAGCTTCGTGCGCCTGCCATTCCTTCTTATGAACTCGCCCCCAATGTATCTTGATATACTTGGGATCGGGTTGCCATTGACGACACAATGCACAATGCTGAAGTAGTTCCTGCTTGAGCTCCTCGGTGACCGTTGCCAAGCTGATGTCATCGAGCTGAAGCGTGCCATCCCGAGCCTGATCCCAGACTGAAGCCTTGGCCTCAACCATGGTACTCGCCTCGGTGTCGGGTGTGCTCTGTTGACAAAAGTTCCCTGCAACATGTTTCTGCAAATCAGCCCACCGCAGAAATTTGTGCCCACACATGGAACACGTCGGCATTCCATCCACACCGTGACGTTGCCTGTCAAAGGTTGGCGCTGCAGTCTGCCGCCTCTCTGCACTATGGACCTTAGCCTTGTGTGCCCGCAAAGAACTGTAGTCACCGAACTCCGCATTGCAAACATCACACTTGTGAACAGTAGTGACGCTATCACTCTGAATGCAACGGTCCTTGAACTGCTGCAGAATGGTCTGCTCCCACTCCCGAACAGCCGCGCTGATTCGAACATCCTGTGTCGCTAAGTGATGCGTAAGCTCCGTTGTGCGTTCCACGGCGGCCTGCAATCTCTGTTGCACCATCTGTTCGGGAGTGACCATTGCCACCTTTCGCCAGAAAACTTCATCGGATTCCGTGATAACCTCTTCACCGGTTTCACCTCCCAGCCTGTGTCTGGGGCTGCGCGCGATGGCTCGCGCTTGCTTGGTCAACATGACGCGAAGTGCGTCGACCCCCTTGGGGAGAACACCGGAAGCAGTGATTGAGTACATGACAGTTGGGATGACAATGGCCTTCCATAGTCGAAGCCTCTTCTGCATGCTGGCTGCCTTGTCTGCCATGAGAAATTTGCGAACTCGTTGGAATGCCACTTTGCCTGCATGGACTCGGTGCTGCATGTTCTTGTGCTCAAAGTCCCCATATGTGATGCAAGCGCCTAAGTAAATGTGATCCTGTTTGAGTGGCAGGATGTAGTCCGGGCTGATTTTGAGGACTCGGCCGTCCTTGGTTTTGTCGATGAGCTGCCGCTTGATGTGTGGAGTCTGAACACCTTCAACCCGTAGCAGACAAACCGTCTTGTCCCGACTAAGTTTGAGACCCGCCTTTTCCAGGAGTTGTAATGCCCGATGTGCTTGTGCAAGAGCCTGATGTAGCTGCACCGCATCATGGATATCCCAACGAAGATGAGTATCATCAGCAAAGCCCACCAGATGATCGTTGCACCATTGGGACCCCATCTCCTGCTCAAGCAAATGCAGCAAGTACACCGAGATGCACACCCAGAGTGATGGTGATAAGCGACAGCCTTGTCTTATTCCTCGACTGGAGGAGAACTTGGCTTCAGCATCGTCCTGCACAACATGGAAAGTGGTAGTCTCTACCCACTGCATAATCAAGCATCGTAGGTTATCAGGGACCTTCAGATGTAGAAGGGCTGAGTTGAGCAGAGCGCGGTTGGCCCTATCGAACGCTTGTGTGAAATCGATGCTCACCTGCAAGCCCCCTGCGCAGCCCCCTCGTCGATGTCCCTGACGGATCGCATACAAATCTCGACCCTGTGCTTTCGCCCGAGCACGGGCATCGGCACAATGCCGATATACAATGCTCAGTGCCTGTTGCGGCGATCGATTGGGCAAGTACCCAAAAAGATGTCTGTCCTCAACCCAGGGCTGCAGGAAAGGCATCAAATGTTGCTTGATGATGCCGCTCATGGCCTTCCCCGCTGGCTCCAACAAGGAAATCGGCCTGAGATCTCCGGGCTTATTGCCCGGCTTGTTAGCTTTGTTCAAGGTCGAACTCCTCTAACAAGGATGAAACCTTTATTTCCAAAAGCAAATTTCGTTTGAACGAAATTAGTGAAAACTTTTACTTTGAAATTTTTCCTGCTGTTCGGCATGACTCTTCTTTTGAGTGCATGACGATCATAGCCTGAGGTGTTGTACGATGTCTTTGTTGCCGTGCATGCATCCTCAAGCTTTTCGAGCAGGAAAATTTTTGTGAGCCTTGAGATCCTTCTGCTGTGGTGCCGTACACCGTTGCCAGGGTTCCCCCGACGGAATAGTGGCTTGAGGGCTTGCTCTCGCTGCAAGGGGAGTGAGCACTGGTAGGTGTGGCAGGCCACCCGGCAGACACGTGTAGGATCTTGCTAAAAGGCCCAAGGTGCTAACCCGGTGCTTCTAGTGGGTGGGGCGGGGCGTCGCATGGATACGAGGACACTCTTAATGTGAACGCTGGTCTACGGCCCCTGCCGTGAAACTCCTTGCTCGTCGTGTGGTCGCTATGGGGGCAAACAAGCCCGACTTCGCAGAGGAGGTTCGCTCAGCCTGGAATTCCTTGCGTCCTCAAGAGCCCGAAGACCCCTTGAGTGCTTTGCTGCCATCCTGTGACTTGTTCAAAGATTTCAGTGCTTCAGCCCTTTGCAGACCCGCTGCTACAGATCGCCCGGTGGATGTGGAACTTCGTAAGATTCTGCAGCCGAGCCTTGCTGGCAGGAGGTTATACCTGCAATGTGTGCAAAACATTGAGGTTTTGTCTTGGAAGGAAGCTTTGGATTGTCAAACACAGAAAGCTATCAAGAGGTGGTATAATTTGGTCTTGCTTTGGAAGTCGGAGCTTCTGGTGGTAAAGCAAGTCTCCAGTGCCACTGTGGTGGAAGGCATGGACATCTTGGCTGATTACTTGAGACCAAAGGCTCCTAGTACTTTGAACAAGAGGGCCTCGTCTCTTTTCTTGCTTGACAAGTTGCTCTCGGAGGAAGGGCTCCTTTTCCCTCCTGACGAGCAGCATTTGTATGATGCCTTGTGCAAGCTACGTGCCAAAGGTAAGGCCCAGTCCGGACGGAAGGGCATCCTTGAAGCTTTGAACTTTTGCTACTTCGTCTTGAACATTGAAGAGTGCGAGGAGCTGGTTTTTAGCAGAAGGTGCCAAGGAGTGTGCTATGTTGAGCCGCGTGCGCGGGTCAACCAAGCTTCGCCTTTCTCCTTAGAGGAAGTTTTGGAGTTGCATGGGATAGTACACCAGGCTTCTGACGACTGGGATGCAGTCTTTGCTGGAGCAGTGTTGACCGCCATTTACTTGAGGTCACGATGGGCTGATTTGCAGTGCTGTGAGGACTTACAATTGGACCGCGATGCCGTGGGTCGATTGTGTTACATCGATCTGATCACCGGGCATCACAAGTCAATGCAGTCGAGACAGCATCGACACCAGTTCTTGACTATGACCGGGCCGTGCGTTGGGGTCACATCGAACCAATGGGTTGAACGTTGGCTTTGCCGGTGCGAGGCCGTGGGTTTCAAGCCTTGCACAGGTGGATGGCCAGTTATGCCCGCGCCTGATGTTACGGGACGGCCGACGGTGCGTCCGCTCTCGTCAGGTGAGATGACAGCTTGGATCAGGAAACTCCTTCCGGGCGCGGCGGAGGCCGACAGAAAGCTGTCCAGCCATTCTGCGAAGTGCACGTTGCTTTCTTGGATGGCGAAATTCGGAGCATCCCAAGATGTCAGGGCGTGTTTGGGATATCACGTGGGGACCAGCAAGACTGTTTTCCGCTACAGCCGAGACGCGGCCGCAAGTCCGCTTTATGAGCTAGGCCGGATGCTGCAGTGGGTGAGGGATGGCCGCTTCCATCCCGACAACACCCGTTCGGGGAGGTTTACATCTGCAGAAGAGCTTGAGCAGGCTTGGTGGGACCAGGTGAGGGATTTGCCTCCCTCGAGTGAGGGGAGGAATCGCGATCTGGAAATCTCGCTACCTGAAGACATGCAACCTCAAGCAGATGGCTTACATAGTCTCGTCGAAGGATTGGGCTTCGACCACGACGACCCCGAGGAGCGACTTTCTTTGTCTGGGGGCATTGGCGACTCCTTGGCAGGATTGGACGATGAAGAGGCACGGGATGCCGCTAATGAAGATCCTGACTCTTCGGCAGAAGGGGCCTCTAGTTCTTCAGAGAGCGATGGGAGTGGAGCGGGCCCCAGACCGCCGCGGCTGTTGCACCCTCCTTCAGCACCTGAGGGAACCAGTTTCGTCAGGCATGCAAAGTCCAGGATCTGTCAGTTGAAAAAGGATGGATATGTGCGGCGACTGATGTGTGGAAGGCCGCTCTCGCAAGCATATGTTGCCCCGGGCCTAATGAGGTATGATACGGGAGTGTGTAGCCAGTGTATGAGGTCGGCAGCTGCTGGCAACTGAGAAAATCGGTTCTCTGTCTAGTGAGCTGTACTGCTTCGTTTGAGCTGAGGGCGCCGAGGGAATTCACTTGGTGAGTTGTCGTGGGCGTGCTTGCGGTTCAACTTGAAGCTTTTGTGATCTCATGTTGGTAGGCACTCGCAGTCTGATTATCACATGAGGGCATTGCACTTTTTGTTTGTGGTATCTGCTCAGTTTCTCCGCGCGATGGCTTTAATTGACAGTGAGGCTTCGCTCAAACAAAGGTGCCTGCCCGTGGAGGGGGATGACTCCCTTTTCGAGTCTCTAAAGGCCAATGGAGTGAAGACGCTGCGTCAGTTGGCATTCGCACTGGGGAGCCCACAAACTCCACCGTCCGATGATTCTCTGAAGGACCTTGCGGCTAAGGTTTACAAGTGTGCCGAGGGTACTCAGCCTACGATCGGACAAATTGCAAATGTTCGCATGCTTATCTTCGAGGCCTCTACACTTGTAGTGGCACAGTTGCGAGCACAGGCGACGGCGGATGATTCCGATCTTGCAGGTCGCAAGCTGCCGCATGTTGAAAAGCAAGCGCGTTTGACCTCGCAGAAGGCCCGACTTCCCGGGCTGCTGATAGAGGGAGAGCTGCAGCCCAGCTACGCGCTGGTAGATGCTTGTGCCCTGATGTCAGAGTCGAACAGCATTACTTGGATCAGCCCCTCGCGTTGCACTAAGCGTGATGCTGAGGTGCAACAGCTAGGGAAAGAGAAAACCTCGTTGGTACAAATTGAGGCAGGCACCTTGAAGGTCAGTTCGAGCAGCAAGTTGCCTGATGCTGATACAACCACTGCCTTGCAGCTTCTGTATTGCTTCCAGAGGCGAGGGTTGGCATTAGATCAGTGCAGCCTCATCGGCTGGTCGGACCATGAGTGGTACGTACAGAGCCTTATGTCCTATCTTCATGGAGAGCCGGTGTCAGGAGCCAGGCCCGCGATCGCCCAGGTCATTCGGGCAGACCGGGAGGCTTGGACACTGATGAGCCGTGAGATCGAGGGACCAATTGGGGTGAAGGATGCGGCTGGCGAGCTGGTGATGGCGGCTGCTTTGAGGCGGTTGGCCAAAGACCCTCGCGTAGTCGTTCATCTTGTTACGGCACCGCAGCCGCAGAAAGTCGCTCCACCGCCTTCCATCCCTACCGACTCGGCTGCTGCTGCAGCTTTGGCTGAGAAGGATACCAAGAAGAAGAAGCGCAAGCGTCTTACCGGCCTTGTACCGGAGTCTTTGAAGGGATGTGTCACCAAGATCAAGGCCGGGCCCATTTGTTGGGCTTTTAACCTTGCCGAGGGGTGTTCGCTTGAAACCAAGAAGGATGCCCATGGAACAAAGTGTGCAAAGGGATACCATGTTTGCGCCGGATATACCATGTTTGCGCCGGATGCCACAAGCCTGGCCACAGCTTTCCAAACTGCCGGAAAGGAGGCTCGTGACAGGTTGAGGAGACTCCCGCTGCCTCGAGTGAAGCTTCGCGAGCCTCGAGTGATGTGGAGTCTCTTGCCGCGTCAATTTTGCAAACGCCTGCTCCTTTCGATAAATCTTCGCTGTCGCAGCTGATTGAGCTGCTGCCGATGCAAAGCCCCCCACGGGGGAGTGTTGGACGCTCCTTCGCTGCCGGGGCGTATGCAAAAGGGGGTCTGTATGGCCTTCACTCAAATACCAATCTTTTTCCAAATGTGTGCGCTGTCTTTGCGGCGCAAATCCGGAGTTTGGCTCCGGGCGAGTGCTTTACAAGCTTTATTATTCTAGATGACTGTTCCGCCGAGGTGCATCGCGATTCCAACAACGACGACTCCCACTGCAACATCCTGCTGAAGTTGTCCGAATTTCAGGGCGGGGCCGTTTGGGTAGAGGGTGATGGTGACATTGAGGTGACTGATCCAAAGGGACGCGTCTTGAAGGGTCATGAGTTGTCTTGGGAAAACAACAAAATCACTTTGGATGCGAGGAACTTGTATCATGCTACACTCCCCTGGACGGGGCGACGACTGGTTCTGGTAGGATATCACGTCAGGGACTTCCAAAGACTGCCGTGTGACGATCGCCAGAGGCTGATTGACATCGGCTTTCAGTGCCCATCGAAACCCGCGCCTTCCCCCCATAGGACCCTTGGGTTTAGTTCCCCCTCTTCGGGTGTTGCTAGCGCTGCCACTTCAAGTGCTGCCACCAAAGGTGAGTTGATTAGAATTGGCCTGCCTTCCGAACCCAAAGCCTTCGTGCAAAGAGCAGTGCAAGCCGGCCACCCTAGGGACGGAAGTGCACATGTCTCGAAGCTTGTCGTAAATGCAATCAAAGCGAACTTCAGCGACCCGCCGGCGCAAACTGTCACCTCTCGTGCTGCTGCTCTTAAACATTGGACTGCACGAGCCAAGCAATTAGAGCAGAAAGAGGAGGAGTTACACCGGAGTTTGCCGGAGCACCTTCGTTGTCTGCTGGAGGGCAAACGGTTGCTCTTGTGGCAAGAAATGCACGAAGCAGCTGGATCTCCAGATGACCAGCTAATCACCCACATGTGTGATGGATTTAAGTTGTCTGGTTGGTTATCGCAGGGAGGGCTTTTCCCTCCGAAGGTTAGGCCACCCTCCTTTTCGGTTTCCACCCTTAGTTGCTTAGCAAAAGGTCTGAATCAGTCGACGATTGCGAAAATGCGTGTCCGGCAGGATGAAGACTTGGAAAAGGCAACTTGGCAGGAAACTGAGAAGGAACTGCAAAAGGGTTGGATTTTTGCTGACACAAAAAGTTGCATAGAGCTTTGCGCTCTGGCCCGCAGATTTGGAATCAGACAGCTTGACAAAGTGCGTGTCATAGACGATGCCAGCATTTGTGGCATCAACGCTACCGTTGGCTTGAAGTATGGTTTCCAAATGCATTCCATTGATAGATATGCTGCGTGGATCTCCAAGGCGCTACGCATCAATGAGGGCAGACTGCCTGCCTGCAAAGGTCGTGTATACGACCTTAAGAGTGCGTACAAACAGTTTGGAATCCATCCTACAGACAGGGAGCTTTTCAGATTTGCAGTTAACAAACCAGGAGAGGCGGAGCCCATGATTATGGGAGCAAACTCCTTACCGTTCGGTGCGGTGGGAAGTGTTGCTGCTTTCCTCCGTATCTCGTTGAGCATCTGGCTGATAGGAGTGAGGCTGTTCAGTATCTTCTGGACCGCATTTTTCGATGACTACGGAGTCACGACTCGCGATGAGCTTGTTGCCAACACAGACTCTTGCATATGTGCCATTTTTGATCTTCTTGGAGTTGAATTTGCTCGGGAGGGCAAAAAGGCACCACCGTTCTCACGAGACTTTAAACTGCTTGGAGTCAGAGTCGATTTGAATGATGCACCTCGGGGGATTGTGCGAATCGGCAACACTGCCGAGCGTCGCGAAGAACTGAACGTGTTCATCGAAGACATCTTGCAAGCCAATTGTCTCGACCTTAAGACCGCTGAAAGGCTCCGAGGCAGGTTGGTGTTTTTCGAGGGGTTTGTTTTCGGGCGAATGTCGAATTCGGCCATCCGAACTGTGGATCGAGCGGCCAGGGCGGGACTCACTTCGAAGAGGCTGCCCGAGGATGTTAGAAAGAGCCTCGTTGTCATTCGCGAGAGGCTGAGGGTGGCTGAGCCTGTGACCATCGCTACCAAAAACCATCACTCTTGGCTTATCTTCACAGATGGAGCCTGCGAAGGCGAGAAGAAGCTAGGATCCATTGGAGGAGTGATCGTGGGCTTGAGTGGCCATCCGATATCCTTCTTCAGTGAGCAAGTCCCACAGGATATCATGAAGATCTTGTTGAGCAACTCGCAGAATCCCATTTTCGAACTTGAACTTCTGCCGGTCCTAGTTGCTTATAGGCTCTGGGGCCAGTGGTGCAGATTTTCTCAAGCCGTTTTTTACTTGGATAATGAAGGTGCTCGCCATTCGATAATAGCCGCGGGAGGAGGCGCCGATCTCGCTCGTGTGATTATCGATGGCATCCTCTCGAAGGAAACTTCCCTTCAAATCCACGCATGGTACGCCCGTGTACCTACGCATAGCAACATTGCAGACTCCCCGAGCAGAGGTGAGTACGAAGGTCTCTTGAACATTGGATGCTCAAGGCTTCGCGTCGACTGGGATGCGGTGGCACGGCAGTGTTTTCCATTGGGGTGACTCAGACTGCCAGCACCTTGCCCCAGCTGCGAAAAGATGAGTCCGATTGCAGAGAGTCTTCATGTTTACTTTTTATATTGGAAAGAGTGGATTGTTGAATTCATACTTTTTGATATTCAACTTTCACATATTCCTTTGAAGTTTTCACGGTGCTTCGGAAATAAGGTCGAACTCCTCTAACAAGGATGAAACCTTTATTTCCAAAAGCAAATTTCGTTTGAACGAAATTAGTGAAAACTTTTACTTTGAAATTTTTCCTGCTGTTCGGCATGACTCTTCTTTTTGAGTGCATGGCGATCATAGCCTGAGGTGTTGTACGATGTCTTTGTTGCCGTGCATGCATCCTCAAGCTTTTCGAGCAGGAAAATTTTTGTCCCGCCCTCCCACCCTTGGGCAAGTGCCCACCTAGTCGGGGGAGAGTGGGCCTATCCCTGAGCCTATGACTCAGACTGCCAGCACCTTGCCCCAGCTGCGAAAAGATGAGTCCGATTGCAGAGAGTCTTCATGTTTACTTTTTATATTGGAAATAGTGGATTGTTGAATTCATACTTTTTGATATTCAACTTTCACATATTCCTTTGAAGTTTTCACGGTGCTTCGGAAATAAGAAGGTGAGCCAGGACGCCGACCAATCCTCAAAGACCTCGGCTTCTTCGTCACGCCATTTGCTGAGAACCTGAACATCCAAGAACTCGGCAACAGGACCTGCTGCAATCTGCCACAGCGCATGTGGTGCACAATGAGCCGGTGCCGCTTTGTTGCCCTTCAGCGACTGCAGAGCATGAAGTAGTTCCTCTCGTGACACATGATAGGCATGCCGTGGTTGGTGGCTGGGTGGAGCCTGCCCATCACTGCCCGCACAGATCTCCTTCCAGAATGTCGCCAGTTCCTTGACTTCCTCAGCCGGGCACAAAAGTCGGCCGTTGGGGGATCTCAGCTGTGTTCGTTTCTTGGCCTGCTTGGGAGCCCACTTCTTGATCAAAGTAAAAGTGGTCGATGCCCCGTCGACCTGATCGCAGCGCTCGGCTGCCGTCAGCAATTGATCAAAATGTGATCGTCGGAGCTGCCGGCTGTGTTTCTGAACCGCCCTGTGTAACCGAAGGAATGCCACTTGATGACGCCAGGCCTGCAAGATGGCCCGAGTGCCAGGGAGACACCGCCTACGCTTCATCAACCGATAATGTGACCACATCTGCTTAATCAAGTTGGTGTGTGCATCTGCTGTCCAAGCTGGCGGCTGCACTCTTGGTCGCTGAATATCGAAGACCTGTTTCCCCACCTGCAACAGGATGTCATTCAAGAACTGTGGTTGGTATTCGATCTCTGCCTCCAAGCGCTCCTGAACCATGGCCTGGAACTCCGCAGCCTTCTCGGGGTGGTCCTTTGCCGCCTGCTGTAACAATTTGCACTTCCACACTGGCCATTCTCGGGGAGTCTTACGAACCTGGTGATGGTAAGGCCTGAGGGTGACAGCCACGACAATGGGCAAGTGCCGCCCTCCTTCACGCCATCTTCCAACCTCGAAGCCCGCAAGCAAGGATGCTGAAGACTGTCCTGATTGACACTGTCGCAGCAACCAATAGTCAACAAACGATTTGCGATGGACCTTGTAGCCTTCATGAACGTAGGAGAACGCCGTGGGCCTACCAAAAGTGTTCACAGCCTTCAGCTGAAAGTCCTGCACCAACTGTTCCAAGCACTCGGCATCCGGGGAAATCTGGCCCTTCTGCAGCATGCCACGACCTATGCAAGGATGCATCGGTTTCGCTGACGTGTTCAGGTCACCTCCAGCAATGAGAAAGTGGCCCTTGGGAATCTGGCCAAAGGTGTCCCTGACCTTCTCCCAGATCGCTGCCCGCTTGGTGAGCAAGCGGTCCTGATCCGAGGCCAAGCCCCAGCTGTGCTGATAGATGTTGACCACATTAACCCAGCCTCCCTTGCACAGCGCCTGCACGTGAAGCACCCTGCCTGGAACTACATGGTGAAAGCCAACATGCGACTGATCAAAAACATCTTTGCGAAGCAACACCATGACGCCTGCTTGCGCTCTCGCCACTCCCTCACCGACGCCCGAGTTGATGCAAATCCACCCCCTGTCAAGAAAATCCATGTCCGAACGATACCAAGTCTCTTGCAGTAGAACAATGCTGTAATCACTGCCGTGCTCTTGAAGCCAGGTGTGTAGCTCATCCTTAAGGTTGTTGAGCCCGCCACAATTCCAGGAGAAAGCCCGCAATGAAAATCTGGATCCACTTTTGCATTGGGACCTGCTGGCTGCTGGGATGTTCAGCACTTCGGTCTTTGCGGCTGCATTGTTGGACACATAGGACTTTCGAAGAGTTGCCAAGCTGAGCCATTGACCCCTGTACCAAGCACTGCCGTTCGCCTCTGCCCTGTTCAAGGCACGTTTGTAGGAGCGTTTTCTCGCAAATGATAAAGTGAAACCGTGAAGGCCTGATGCACATTGTTTCGCGACTGAAGTGCCGACTCTTACCATCGATGTCCTGTCGCTCCCAGGAGCCCCGTGCACAAGCTCCAAACCCTCGTCTCTGCTGCCAGCTGAAATGCCCATGTTAGGCCTCACATGTGCAGCCCGCGGAATTGGGACCGCGGCGGCCAGATCATGATCAAAAGTGTATGCTGTGCCCACTGTACTTGACTGCATGCCAAAATCGCCATGTGAAGTGCTCGACATGAAAATCCAGAAGAGAAATCCAAGCATGAAAATCGGCAATGTAAAATGGAATGCAGCAAAAGGGAAAAGTCGACGTGGAATACAGCAGCTGAAAACCATGCGCTCTACGGCAAGCTACAGCTACCCCACCCGTACTCACAGCAAAAGTGCTCGGGCCGAGAGACTTGATTCACTTGGCTCTCGGTGTAGTCATCAATCGGCCTCGTCTTATCAAGAACCGAACCATCAGCCTGTGTGCTTGTTTGCCGAATGCCAAACCTGCGAGTGAGCACAGCACCATCTGGCAAAGGAAAGTCGCGTGGCCCATCAAGCCATCCCCTCTCTTTCTCATCACAGGTGAGCGCGAAAACTTCTTCGGCAACTTGTTCGGCTGCTGGTTCAACAGGACAACGAGATTCAGATGCTCAAGATGGACAAGCAGTTTCTGCTACATTTCGAGACGGGGCCCCAGGGAATGGTTCACTTGTTTTGGGAGTCGGCACAGGTCTGGAAGAAGGCCAAGGAAGCCCAGCCCCCGACGGTGGACAAATCGTTGCGCGTAACCTTGATTCTGTGCATGATGATGGAGCTAGAAGGCCGCTTGACGAAGATGCTTGCACACGAGCCGACCAAGGACAACATGATCAAGCATGGTTGGCTCACCACTCTCCTCGGGCAGCCAGCTTGGCCATACATGATTTGGACGGGGGAGAAGTTGGAACTCGACTCCACCAAAGCGGCGATCCCTCACAGCGAGATGACGGAGATCATAAAGGAGATCAAGCAGGCGCTCTTCGACAAGTCCGAAGAACTGGTGCACAAGTTCCACAGCGTGCGCCCGTTGGCGGAGCAGATGGAGGGCGACACATTACCTTTTCTCTTGTCAATCAGCACGAGAGGGGCTCTGGCGGATCGGACGTTCGAGCTTTTTCGAAAGCTGGAGGGCAACACGGTTCTAAGGGTCGTGGGCGCTCGCCTTCGGGGCGAACGCCTCAAGCGGCAACCCCTGGTACATCAGCTAGTGGAGGCCATGGCGCAGCTACAGGTGAGTTCGTGACCAAGACGCAGAGGCAGGTCCTTGGAGTGCGGTTGCAGAACAATCACAACGTGTGTTACATCAACTCTCTGGCTCTGCTGTGGGCGTGGGCTTCATCGTTCAGCAATAATCTTGAGTACTTTGCAGGTGCGGCGACTCCGGCTCTCCGAGCCATTCTTACGAGCAAGGGGCTGCTCAATCTTCTTGAGCTACTGCCTTGGCAATGCTTTTATCGCGGATGGCCCAATCTGCGACTTCAGCATGATGTGCAAGAATGGTGTGCTCATTTATTTACTCAGGTGATGCCTCGATTTTTGAGTGGATCATGGCATGCGAAACTTCTTAGTCTGGAGCTCAGAGACCGTGCCCACACGTATTCGCCTGTTTGGATGACATTACCCTCACATTTACAGGAGTGTACTTTGCAAACAGTGGTGGATCAGTGGAGTGCTCAGGATGCTATACATGCATTGTGCGAACCCCCGGAGGTATTGTGTGTATGCCTCGCAAGGTTCGGCTATAATGGTGATGAGGCCTTCAAGCACACAATGTCGGTGAGTTTGCAAAGCTTGTCCATCATGATTCCCTGCTTTCTGAATGAGAACAGTTTGGAAACCCGTAGTTGTTCATACACGGTTATTGGTGCTATTTCACATTATGGTCAGACCGTCAATTCTGGACACTACAGGGCCATGCTTTACAGTGCATCGGAGTCATGTTGGTACATCACTGATGACGGCTCTCGGGCCAAAAGGGCCAAACACAGCGACATGCAACACCTTTTCAGAAATGCTTACTTGATTTGGCTGAGAGCTGAGGGCTGATGCAGTTTACGGCTCACGGGCAAGCGCGGGTGTACAATCCTCGCTGGACGCAGGAGGTTGTGCATGCTGTCGGGGATGTGGCTCGCCACTCCTACGGGCACCCGTGCTCTCTGCCGCATGTCGCGCCGGACGCGGTGCGCATGCTGAGTGACGGAGCTGCTAGGGTAGGGACTTGGGTTGACTGTAACAACAAGCTCAGTCTTCCCCGTAGGGGTACGTACACTCGTACAGTTGCTTTCGTACAGCTCTTTCGTACAGTTTTCTTGCATTTGATTTCGGACTGAAGTCGTGAAATCAGTGCTCGCTTAGTGCTTCGGCACGGGGCGCTTTTTGTGCTTGCTAGGTGCTACGGCACGGGGCGCAAAGCTTGCAGCCTAGAGCTGCCGTGTGACACACGTAGGCTTACGCCAGGCGACCTTCAGGACGCTGCGCAGTCAAAAAGCCAAGTGAATCTCACTAATGCCAGCGTGGAGACCATTTCGCCTCATGGTGTGGACACCATTGTTGCTGGGATTTGCCGGCGCATCACCTCGAGGCCTGAGCAGGCTGAGCCTGAGGAGCTGGTGGCATGCACAGTGGACCTCAGAAAAGCCTATAAGCAACTTCCGGTTTCGCTCGAGTCGCTGAACGATTGCTTCTTGTGTGTGCATAGCCCTAAGTGCAATCAGCCTTCCATATACCGCACACGTGTGCTGCCCTTCGGGGCCCGTGCTGCAGTTAACGGATTTTGTAGATGCTCGCTTGCTTTGTTTTGGATAGGGGTTGTCCTGTTGCAGCTCCACTGGAGCTGCTACTTTGACGACTTTTTCTTGGTGGCAGCGCAGTCGGAGGCAGAGCATGTGCATTTGATTCAACGGGGTTTCTTTGACTTGCTTGGCTGGTCTACGTCGTCCGAAAAGGACTCGGGATTTAACTGCCTGGCTCGAGTGCTAGGGGTTTCCATCTCGTTTGCCGACGTTAGAGCTGGTCTAGTCGTAGTTTCGAATACGGAACACAGGATACGCGACTTGAGCAATCTTCTTGACTTGTTGGTATCAAGGGGCTCTGCATCGAGTCATGAGCTGACAGTACTTCGAGGCAGACTCTTGTTTGCTGACAATCAGGTCTTTGGCAGGCGTGCCCGGCAGGTCTTCTCTGTCCTGTCCAAAGCCTGCTCTTGTAAGAAGAATGTCAAAATAACTGGTGAGCTGCTGCACGCGCTTCTGTTCTTCCGTGATCACATCGTGAATGGTGAGCCAAGGCGTGTCAGTGCTTGCAAGAGGGAAAAGCTGACCCTCTTCACTGACGCCTCCTTTGGAAGCGAAGGTTCAGGACTTGGTGGGATCCTTTACGATTCAGCTGCCAAGCCTCTCAAGTGGTTTGCTGAGTGGATTGATCCTTGTGACCTTGTCCCCTTCGGCTCTGATGCTAAGGAGGGTTTGATTTATGAGTTGGAGATCTTCGCAGCAGTGCAAGGTGTCGTGGACTTGCTCAAAGGCAAGTCGAACATTGACCTAGTGCTGTTTGTGGACAACGAGTCCGCTTTGTCATGCTTGATAAGTGGCCGCGCAGAAGGCATTGCAGCTTGCATACTTCAGAAGCTTGTCTGCTTCGAGGAAGAGAACGATATCAACATTTGGTGTGAGTGGGTGCCATCCCAAAGCAATCCTGCTGATGGTCCATCCCGGAAGGATTACAGCAATCTTGATTCGTCTCTTCGTGTGCGGCTCACTGCCTTGACACCTTAGGGCCTGTGCGTGGGGTGTGGAGGGCCCGATGTGTTCGAGCAGTGAGCTCAGTGACCATCGGTGCTTCTTCTTACGACTCAGACTTTGTCGCAACTCCCATTGCAAAACGAAGGCTTCGGATGTCACGCAAATTTTCTTTTATATTATATTTCTTATTGTGAAGGCACATAATGGCCTATATTTTGTGAATGCCCTTATAACTTAGGGCGACAGGAATCAGAAGGAAATAAGACGAATCTCATCGAAGGTGATATCATTTTATTTTCCTGATTCCGAATTTTGAAAGTTTGACTTTCAAGAGCCCGAAATTTTCTCTTAATCGTTTTCCAATCTTTGGAACGATATGGAATCTTCCTTTGCCCGTGCAACATTACGGCTCCAGGGAGGGAGGTGGGAAACCCCGCAGCTGGGCAAAGGCTCAATTTTTGTCCCGCCCGCCCATCCCTTTTTCACTCTCGTCGGGGTGTGGAGGGCCCGATATATTCGAGCAGTGAGCTCAATGACCATCGGTGCTTCTTCTTACGACTCAGATTTTGTCGCAAATCCCATTGCAAAACGAAGGCTTCGGATGTCACGCAAATTTTCTTTTATATTATATTTCTTATTATGAAGGCACATAATGGCCTATATTTTGTGAATGCCCTTATAACTTAGAGCGACAGGAATCAGAAAGAAATAAATAATATTTGTGAAGGCAAAGGAGCTTGAGCGTCAGGGGCTGCTGAGGCTTGTCCCATCAAAAGGGGTGTTCACCTTAAAACCCCCCAGCGTCAAGGGGCGCAAGATCCGCAGAAAATTTCGACTTGTCCTTTGTGGAAACTTCGCACAGCCTGAGGGAGATCCCAGTGAGTTGTACGCCGGTGGGGCCAGTGCGTACACGGTCAGACTTGCTTTGACATTTGGAGCTCGACGCTTTTGGAGCGGGGGAACTTCAGATGAGACGGGGGCTTTCCTCTTAGTGGAGTGGCCAGAGAATTTGGCTCGCTATGCGATCTTCCCCCCCAAGATCCTGGTGGAAGCAGGTTTGGCTAGTGCGCTGGATGGCTGGGAGGTCATCCGACCTCTTTATGGACTGCGAGAATCGCCTTCCATATGGGCGAAGTGGAGGACCAGCAAGCTTCAGAAGGCGAGGATTCCGTACAAGGGTGGTTTCATAGTACTCAAGCAGTCTACTTCAGACCCTGAGCTTTGGATGGCTTTCGATGAGAATGACAACTTGAGATCCTCTGGTGGTTTGTTGGCATTGCTGATTACCTATATCCATAACTTGCTCTACCTTGCTGATGCCCCCTTGTGAAGGCTTTATATGATTGGGTGCAACAGGAGTGGCCTTGATCTCAACTTGAATGGGCCGATGATGAAAATGGCACGCGGTACCTTGGTATGGAGATCAAGCAGCTGCCCAGTGGAGCCTTCGAGTTATCACAAGAGGGGTATATCAAGGAATTTCTCAGGAGCTACGGCATGGAAGAGGCCTTGGAAACGAAACTTCCGTATCCCAAGGAATGGCTCAACGAAATCGAGGAGGAGGGCATGGAGAACTTCTCCGTTGAGGAGCTCAAGGCTGCACAGCGTATCGTTGGTGAGCATTTGTGGCTAACGATGAGGTGCCGACCTGATTTACAGTACCCCGTGATGGATATGGCTTCCCGGGTGAGCAAGCAGCCCAACAAGGTGATGCAAGTTGGACGTCGGCTGTTGAGTTACTTGAAGGCTACGCAGTCCATGAAGCTTGTGTTTGGGAGTTGATTGTGAAGATGCCATGACCTCCAGCAGCACAACAGAAAACACCGCAACAGACAACAACGAGCGGAACAGCAGCACAACCACACAACATACACCGCGTGTGTGCACAGAACATCTTCTTGCCTATTCCGATGCGAGTTTTTCACTATTTGGAGACAAGTCATTTGGGGCGTGCACTGTGATGTATCATGGGTCGGCTATCTCTTGGAAGGCTTCTGAGCAAGCCTTCGTGATATTGTCGGTCATGGAAGCAGAGTTGTACGAAACTTCAAATGCGGTTGTTCTGGAAGAGAATATTGGGAGCATTTTGGACGAGATCAGAGGCCAAAGGACTGAAAGGGTTCTTCGAGTCGACAATGCGAGCGCGCTCACTATGATTCAGGGTGGAGCAGGCTCTTGGCGTACGCGCCACCTGAAGGTGAGGAGTGCAAAGATACGTTCAATGGTTGAGGATGGTGATTTGATTGCTGAATATGTTGTTGGCGAAGAATAAGTGGCTGATCTGGCTACGAAGATGCATCCTAAAGTGCACTTATGGGAACTATTGGTGTTGTGGGGCTTCAGACATCTACCTGGAGAGGCTATGCAAGCGTTGTCGGCAAAGGATATATATTTGTCGATATTGATGCTGGCACTAATGGTGCAGACTGTGAGAGCTGACGAGATTGGAGAGCAGAGTCGACTTCAGTCAGTGGGTGCAGACGAGCTGTTGCTAATTATAGTGCTGATGTGTGTGTGTCTGCCGTTGCCTTTTGGGAGGCCATGAAGTGCTCTTGCCGATATTTGAGAGATTATATGAAGGAATCACCGAAGCAGAAGAAATTGAGGAAATTCCGTGAGGCCGTCAAGGCAACTGCTGAGGAGGAGGTTGATCGAGCTTTCTTGACTCGGCATGCTGATAAAGATCAAGATGGAGGGGCGAGGTCCAGCCATGATATGATATCCCCGCCCCCGGAACCTTATCCTATTGCTCGCGCCCGTACGACAAAGAGAATTATCGAAAGACCACCCCCGCCGCCGCCGATCGAAGCTGAATATGAGATTTTCCAGAGAAAGGATATTTCAAGACGAACTCCACGAGATCAAAATTTCATACGGATCCATATTGCCATGGTTTGAGGAACTCTAGAGATATATATGCTATTGAGTATTACTCATAGTGCCAACGACAGACCCCGTTATATATGAAATAGAATCGATTCGTGCAGCCTGTAAGATCTTATTGAGACTGTGCGATAGGAACCATCTCATATATGCGAGGAAAATAAACGATTTTAGGCTATGGAACAGCCTTAATATTACGACCTTTGAGCGTTTCGATTCAGAATAATCGAAGAGCGTGGCTTATCGATTAAGGAGGAGTATTGATGCCGAAAGGCTTCACGTTTCCTCTGGCTCTATGGGATCAATTTATATGCTAGTCAAGAGATATTCCGTATATCTAAAGATTATAGTCGTATATTTCGACCTAGAAGACAATGCATGCTTTAGGCATATACAAGTCCCGGTGCTAAATTCATATCTAACTTAGCTAACATCTTCTTTGTGAGTGAAAATATTTCGCCTCGCCAGATACCATAGAGGGCCCTATCTAAATAAATTTATATATTTAAAAATCCGATATCGAATTCCAGAGATCTTCGAATAAGAAATTCATTCCATTTATATCAATTCTAATTATAAACCTTCAGAAATAATTCCAATAAAATTAATATATCGCACGAATTATCTAAAAATTTCTCATTTTAAATATAATATCGAAGAACTATTTAATTTAGCGAATAATTCGAGAGAATTCATTTTTGATGATTTTAAATAATTATATTAACATTCGTAATTAAAATATATAAATATCATTCTATCAAATAATAAATTTATATAGAAATATTTTAAAATTCATCAATATTTATCAAATATTAAAATTTATCTTCGAATATAAAGATTTCAAATCATTAATTATAATATTAGAAAATATATTTTTTAAAATAAAATTCGTATTTTCCTAAATTTATATATCTATATCCGATTCTCGATCAAATATTATCGGAAATCGTATCTTTTTCTTGATTAGAAAAAATATCATTATAGAAAAGATTACATTTTTATTATGATATATACCTAAATTCATCATATCCCAATCCATCAATACGACGAGAAACCAAACAACAAAATCAACATCAAAAAACCATATCCACCAACAGTTTCCACGACTCAAAATATTATGACGACATACGAATGTTATACGAATGTTACCCTAACTGTGGTTTTGATATACTTCTCCCAAAAAAGCACGCTCCCACGAAACGACTTCGTAAGACGCTATTGCTAAAGTCACACCGCTTAAATATATATATATATATACATATATATATATATATATATCTGTATATATATATATACAGATATATATATATATATATAAAACTATATTCAACAAACTACAAAAAGGGTGCAAAAAAATTGAACATAAAAAATATGTAAGGTTTTTGTCGAAATAAAGATATATTCAATAATCTTCTCCATTCATTAAATTCGATAGGTTTTGAATATTTTCATGCCATCCAGATCTCGGATTGACCAATCACCAGGCCTTGAAATTTTCCAAAGCTTGATTAACGGCCTTGGCATTTAAACTGAACACGTCATTGCTACTAGGTGCAGTTCCTGCGCCAGAGCACCGAAATGCCAAGAAAACTGCTGAGCGGCAACAAATGCATTTACACCTGGAACGATGTTTTGGTTTGGCTACCCGAGACAAACGGCAACGGCGTCAGAGGGGTAACAACATGCAAAAGGTAATTCAAGCTCTCGTTCGTCTGCTTCTGGGAGTCCATGAGTTCTTGCAAGTCTTGCTTCACCCTCAAGTTCTGTTGCTTCATCGCGTACCTAAGACTTCGGCAACGGAGACCAACAACGAAAAACACAGACAACGGTCTGCAGCTCAAGCGTGCGTTGCAATCAAATTGCAAATCCACAGACCGTGCTGGACCATGTAGCTGCATACATCGCTCCGTAAATTCTTCCAAGCTGACAATATAGTCGCCATCTACATCAAGGCTCGCCTTCACATGCAAACAACAAGTTCACGTCTCCTGCAGCGTCTGACTGTCAGTCAAGTGCAGCAAAGACACGAATAGTGTCCAGGCATCCACAGCATCTATTTCGATGGTCTCGAAAAATGCCCGCATGTCCTCAAGACAATCTGTGCTCCGAACGAAAAAGGAACTATTTGCCTTGCCACATTACCACCAGCACAGAAACCCAAATAACAATGTTCAGTCGACAAGCATCACGACTGCGACAAAAACAAAAACATCAACATGGAGCGACCAGCAAAAACACGATGACGTAAGCATCCCTCACAGCTGACGGGATAACACAAATAAAAGTAAATCCGCATTAACTCGCCAACGATCGCAAGGCCACTCACTTGCAACAAGGAAAACAAGAACACAGGCAGGCACACAAGTAAAAACAATTCTTAAACACCGCATCCACAATTCCTTCACCACGAATGCAGCTACTTATTACCACGAGCGAACTCACAAAGCCGCAATGACAGTAATTGCTACTAACCGCAGCATCAGTGAAGCAAACACTGCCAAGGCATAACTGTTCCTCGTCTTCGAACATCTTCTCGAAATCGGAAATGGTGATCTTTCCGTCACCAGTGGCATCCATTTTGCTGAATATGTCTGAGAGCAGACTCTTGAACCTGCGCAATTGGGATAGAGTTTTCTTACAAATGGCATGACAGAAGCTGGAGTCTTTTTCGGGGTGCAACAAATCTTGCATGGAACGGTCCTCTTTCGATTCTGCATAATCGTTTGGTGATCATGCTCTGCCGCTTTTATCGCGCTGTGGCAGAAAGTGCCAGTCATTACCTCAGTTGAGTCCCCGGGTCTCTGAAGTTCTCTCTGAGACAGGGGTCAAACTCATCTCGGCACAGTAACCAGGGGGAAAAGGGGCCTAAACCACAACACCTCCAAAGGCAGGAAGAACTGGGAAGAGACATCATTGTAATGCCATGACAAGAAGCAGTGTTCGCGTGGGAGATCGTGAGAGTCAATGTCATTAGACATAACAACAAGTTCGTGGTGCAAGGTGCAAAGATTAAGCAGCATGCGTGGGCCGAGCGTGCCATCGTATGTTGAACGCAACAGTTACGCTGAAATATGTAACGGTCATAGACAGGATCCTGTCCTTCTGCGACCCAAGGCAGTAGGTCAGGGGTCAAGTTAAGGAAAGCCTACTACGTGCATTGCGCTCCCCAAACCACGTGCTGACAGTTGCCGACATAGTAATCAAGAGGGAAGGAAGGTACTTAAACCCGGCCAACCCTCTAAAGAACCAGGGCATCTACTGCAACTGCCCTTCTCTTTTTCCTTGAGCCAAAGTGGCGTCCATAGTCAAGTGAAACAAGCCCTCTGCATACTTAAGCTGGGGGCCTCTGAACCTATGCTCTGCTGGGCCTCTGGGGTCGTATTCTTTTAACTCCCCCCTCGCCAGAGTCAACTGCAGACTACGGAACTGTACAGTGGGGCGCTTAAAGCAGCCCCCTAAGCACACGGGCGCCTACGGCAGCCCCCCTAGCAGGAAGAGCGCTAAAAGCAGCTCTCTCCGGCAAGCTGTGCAAAAGTGAACGTCGCTACTTGGGACTAGACCCCGAAGTGGAGGAGGTGGTAGGGCCACTACTGGCTTTGGTCTTGAGCTGTCTCGTGTCCACCAGAACCTCAGGAAGCTTCTGGCGCATGCCCAACAACTTCAATGCGTTATCCCACTTTTGTGGTGGAAGTGCTTTGGTGAAGATGTCGGCAGCCTGCAAGTTCGTATCGACATACTCAATGTCTACATCATCCTCCTCGATCACCTCAGAGATGGAACCCAAATTGACCTTATGGGTGCGCGCTATGTGCCTAAGCTTCGGCGAATAGCCCTTTTTCGCAACTAGGATCGTAGCCTGGTTGTCCTCATGAATGACTAACCTGATCGGATAGTCGAGGATCGTCTGCCAGAGCTGCAACGCGGGAAGTGCTTCTTGGAAGAGGCTATAAGCTAAAGACGCGATCTCGGACTCTGTGGTACTGCGACTCACAGACGTCTGGCGCTTAGACACCCATGCAAGGGGAAAGAAGGTATTGGGGCCTTTTAGGACCAAGAAACCTCCACTGGTGGACTTGGCATCGTCCCTTTCCCCTGCAAAGTCAACATCAACGTAGAGCGCAAGATGCAGCTCCCTTGGGCCGTCCGACACAGTGCCTACAAGGCGGTGGGTCTTAGTGGAATCGATGTAGCTTATCAGGCGAAGAAGCTTCTTATCATCGTTCCTCGACCACTTTTGCACCTTGGTCGCGAGGTCACCTATCGGCTTGACTAAGTCAGGACGCGCAAGTCTGCCTAGCCAAAGGGCCTTCATTAAGACCTTACATGCATTAGGAGCAAGCTCGCCAGCAATCTCCTCCTGACTCACGGGTAGGGAAGCTTCTGGAGCGAACGGTGTGGCAGCATGCTTCAGAGCCTTAAGGCCAGTGAGGCCCTTATACAGGTCTACGGTCTGTTGTGCATAGTCGAACATATCAAACGCCATGGCACCCTTTAATGCGTCTAGGGCAGCATTCTCAGTGCCTTCTGGCTCGGCGTTGATAGTGCAATGATTGCGACCTAAGATCCGATATACAGGCTCTGGGGGTTCTACATCAACAACCTTGCATAAAGCATCCCAAAACGGCTGGTGCTCCTCCTGGGGACCAGAGAGGGTAAGATCATCAACGTAGGTGGAAAGAAGGAGCTTAGTCTCAGGAAACCAAAAGTTATCCGGATATTCCGGCAGTTCTTGCCCACCCATACTCTTAAGAACCCCTTTAAGGTGTTTCTCCCAAAGTCCGCCCGCTTCTGGGTGACCGTATAGTGCGCGTAAAAGCAGCACCACTGGTCGAGCAAAACACTCACGCCACCAGGAAGGACGGAGTTCAGGCGGTAGCTCTATCCAAGTTTGGTACTTGGATTTGAGAAGAGCTTGCACATACGCTTTGACGGCGTCTGCGGCACCAGACTGATGCCCAGGTAAGCTACCATAAGCTAAGCAGGCATTAAGTCCCTGAACAGAGGTGGGGTTTGCACCTAACTCCCTGTAAACCGCTGCGGCGCCCTCTTCGTCCTTCGCACAGTCACCTCTGTACACGATCCGGCCTTTAACCTTCTGAAGGTGCTTGGCAAGTTCCCAAAACTTGATGGATGCAATGCTCATCAGCTTGCCGAAGTGTACTTTAGTGCCCGTGCGGCGCGCTTGCACTTGGACGCTAGCGTATTCCTGCGGGTTCGTTTCGTCCCACACAGGAACTGCGCGAAGACCGTCTGCTTCTTGTTTCACAGCATTGAGAGCCTCAGGTGAAGACAGCATTTCAGCCCGAGAGAGAAGTTTCGTTACCATCGCCGACACCTCCTTTGAGGGTGCCTCCTTAGGTATGCCATGGACTGCACACATAAGGGCATGAAGGTCAACGACTTCTTCTACAAGCTTAGAAGCCTCCTGGTCGGACTCTATTACTGCAGCAAGGTCCTCGTATCCGCTGAGGGCGGAAACGTGCTTCAGTTCCTGTTCCATTTCGCGGTGTTCAGATGTTGTGGAAGTGGGTAAGATCGGCATCGCAGGCACCGAGATATAGGCCCTACTGGGGTTGATGGCAAAGGCGATGCGCTCACACATCTCTTGCGTGTGCAACCCAGTGAGTTCAAGATCCTTTCCCCGAGCCTCAACATGCTCACTGGGATCATGGTTGCAGTTGATACCTTCAAAGGCTGATACGATAGAGGTGGATGTTGTCATGAGGCGCCATGGTTTCTTAACCGGCTGCCCCCTGAAGCAGACACTCCTAACACGCAACCATCAAAGTCAACAACCTTAAACCTAGGATCCTTAAAGAACTCCTTTACATCAGGCCTCTTCCATGAGTCGGAATATCTCGGCCACTCAAACGTGACGTCAATCCCGAGGTCAAGTGCGGTCTTAGCATGCTCAGCAAACTGTGCGAACAACTTCTTAGACCTATGAATCCTTTGCAGGAGTCGCGCGCGATACTCACCACCGCCCCTCTTAAGCTGAACGCGATGCCACTGGCATCCAGAGGTGCAGGGCAAAGATGCCCAGAGGTGGCTCTCTGGGCACGCACTAAACTGTTCGTGCAGCTGGGCAGCTACAAGCTCGTTTTCTACGTCCAACGTCTCCTTTGCGAGGCGTACGTGAGGTGCACCAAGCTCTTGGTTCACACGTCCCAACATTGAGTTTGGGGAACATGCGTACTCGAAGACAGTTGTGAGCTTAGTAGGCTTCCCTCTCCTTCGACTCCGCTTGTTACCTTTTCGCTGTGTTTTGTCCTCCCCAAAACGTGGTGTAGAAGGGGCAGCTAAACCGAACACAGGTAGGCATTCCTTTCCGCGCACTGTGTCTAAAAGGCACGTGGTACTGGCAGTGCACGGTGGCAAGGCAGCACCTGCAGAAACAACGCTCACTGTAGCAGAAGCAGGAGGTACAGGAGTACTGGGTGCTATGCTTGGAGCAGGAGGTTCGGGAGCAGCGCTTGGAAAAGGGGTTTCAGGAGCAACGCTAGGCGCGGGAGTCTCTGGTGACTCACCCAAGGTGCGAAGCGCAGCCCTCCTTGCAGCAGCTTCTTCCTTGTCTGCTTTAACAAGCTCGGCAAAACGTGCTCTACAGGTGTCGGTGTGCTTTGTGGGTTTTCCCCTACACGCTAAGCAACCCGGCGTTTCCCCGAACTTAACAATTCTATCAGCGGTGATATAAACCGTCCTAACGCCAGGTGTTCTGGGCGCCGGCGGCCCGATGCTTTCAAGAGCAAAGGGAATCTCCCACAATGGGATCTCGGGTAGTGCGCCAGAGGCAGCACTCAAGGTGGAGCCGTCTACTAGCGCCTTACGGGTTGCATTCGCGACTGGGAAGATGGGCGGACCGTCTCCTATATACAGTCAGGTTCTGGCACATCGTGAACAGACGTGTTGCGCTTGCCACGAAAGTCGTTGTAATCTAGAACCTTAACAACATTGCGATAGCGCATGCCTGCGTCTACCCGCCACCCTAGGAAAAGCCCTGGTGACATGTTGGGTTCAAGAGTACGCTTAGAACCTTTAGAGCGGTACCAGATCAGTTGCCCAAAGCAGGCCCTCTTCCCATTGAAAGGCTCCTTGGTGAGGGCCTCCCACTGCGTGACCCCCCCTTGCGGTGCCATCCTGTCGAAAGACAAGGAAAGGCACGCATATGGGTACGAGTAAGAATGCATGTCGTAGGGAAGTCCACTCTGGAGGTGGATAGCACGGCAGCACTCTTTCTCCTCGCGGATATCCCTCTCCAGTAAGGCGTTGTGGGGCCATCTGTTGGGAAGAGAGGGTTCCGGGGTCAGGCCTACCTCCTCCGCCGCTACGATCAACTCGCCAGCTTCATCCAACTTAATGAGACAGGTTGGCGACAGCTCGTTTGCTCTAAGACCCATAAAATGCCGAAAGTTACGTGCATGCTGGGCGGCACCCCTACGAGTCATAGGGTACGCAACTCTAGCCCCTGAGAAAACATCCCTTACTACATGGTGTGACTTAACCCCTCCGGTTCCTATGCCTCGGTGTTCATCACCTTTTGCCATGATGACATCATCAGTGGCAAGCTGCTGGAACGGAGCAGTGGGAACATCAATCATGTCATCTGCCTTGGCATCGGGCTTGTGAGCCACACGCATTGAGGTGTTCTTGGCGATGTGACAGATCTTGCAGTCTTAGGGAAGTGAGTCCTAAGGTGCTTCTCAGAAGTGGCTTCGGCTCTAAGTTCTTCAGTCTTAGAGTGGGGGTCTGGAGGAGGTGGCAACGGTGGTGGTTGCTCTGT